TGGTTGAGCAGGGCCAGGCTCCAGATGGACCACACCTGCTCTGGAAATCGGTGACTGCAGCCAGTGTCTAGGTGTGAACACAGAGTTTGGGGAGTGAGAACCCAGAAGACCCCCTCCCTGGCAACAAAGCAAAAACCAAAAGGTCTGCAGACATCCAGGGCTATACAGAGAAAAACACAAAACAAACCCACAGAGAAGGTACAAGGAACTGAGCTGTCCGAGGATGGCTCACCTCTTTACATGTCACTCTGTTATAGGTCACTTAGCAGGTGTGCATTATCAGGAGTAAGAGTACCAGGCCCCTCAGTGACCACCTTCTGGTCACCAAAGGCAGGGCTGCACGCCATTGGCCCTAGACCGTGTGGAGGCTGGGCTGGAAGGCAGTGTCTGCCAGTCTTCATCCAACCACAGTGACCCCAGCAATGGCCTAGTGGTATATGTGAGGCTGCCTTCCAAGCTGAGCCTTGATCTTGAAGTGAGGAAACTCCGTATGCACATCCAAGAGCTCAGATACAGTAAGAATTGGCCAGCTTTTCATGACTCTGCTGTGGGATCACCCAGAACCTACTCCACTGATTTATAGATTAGATTTTCTTCTTAGCTTTCTTTCTTTTGTATTTTTTCTTTGTTAGTTTTTCCCTGTTGATTTTCACTGTCAACATTGTTTTTAAGTAATTCACTATGCTGTGTGTGTTTCATCTTCATATCATTTCCATTACTGGATTTCTAAATCCTATGAAGACCTGTACAGAGTTCATATTTGCTTTATTCAGTTTTGCAAAAGTGGCAAAACTATGTTATTGAAAAATTCACTGCGTGCACATTGGCATGCATGAAGGGTCTTGGATGATGCTTGGTGAGTGAAGGAATGTCTGCATGCTGGTCTCTTTTGTTAGCATCACTGTCTCTCCAGACATGGTTTCTGGCTGATGCTGATGCAGTGGTCACCATTGTGAGGTTCATACACTACAATTTTGCATTTCTTTCTTTCTTTTTTTTTTTTCCGAGACAGGGTTTCTCTGTGTAGCTTTGGAGCCTATCCTGGCACTCGCTCTGGAGACCAAGCTGGCCTCGAACTCACAGAGATCCACCTGCCTCTGCCTCCCGAGTGCTGGGATTAAAGGCGTGCGCCACCAACGCCTGTCAAATTTATTTCTTAATGAACATGGTCTAACTGCTCATAACTTTTGCCTTAATGTACCTTGATGTTTATGCTTATGAATATACATGATTCTCATGACTTGGTATAGTGTATAAAGTGGTCTATGAAGTGTTCCCTCATATTTTTATATGTCTCAAATAAATTCTCCTTTAGGAGTGTATCTTTTGGACAATTTTGTTTGTTTTTAGGATTTTTAAGTGTGTGTGTGTGTGTGTGTGTGTGTGTGTGTGTGTGTGTGCGCTGAACGCTTGCACTTATGCCCATGCAATGAAGCTCACACGAAGAGATCAGAGGACAACGTTACAGAATTAGTTGTTTTCTTCTGACACATGGGTCCTGGTGCTTGAACTCAGAGAACAATGTGTGACTACAAAGCATCTTTACCTAATGCTGAGCCATCATACTGGACCTTGGAAGTTTGTATTTTTACAATTAAATTAAAAGTTTTAGGATTTTGATTGTTTTAGAATTTTAAGGAGTTAGGAGTTTTATATCTTAGAGATTCTGATATTTGGATCTCACTGTTTGAGATCTTGATGTTTGGGATTGCGTCCTCCAGGATTGTGGCCCAATTGCCTTTCATTTGATCTGAACCTCAGGGCAGGTGTCTTGTGATCTCCTTGGAGTCCAGAGTCGTTCACATGGCACACGCTTTAGCCTCCCTAGCTCCTCTTGTTTCTATTTTTCTTTAGTTGTGCCCTGTCACTTTCCAGGCTTGCATCTCTGTGCTGCCAGTGAAAGTTCTGGCCTGTGTCCCTGCTGTGGCCACAGGTGAGTGTGTTGTTGGTGTCCTGTGTGTATAGACACCATTCCATCCTCCCTCCTAGTGAAAGGTGCCATGGACATATCTCAACTGGCCTTATTGAGTCAGCTTGACCCTAAGACTGGAGCACCTGCCTGTCCAGGTCTTTGTCTGTCTTCTCAGCTTAGGATCTTCTCATGAAGGGAGGCAGTTTATACATGGGCTTTTATAAAACATTGTCAAACCCAGGGTACAGTATTTACAAACTATTTGTGTCTCAGGAAGAACACAACCAAGGTGCATCAGGTGACCTGGTTTGCTGTCTCAGTAAAGTTCGCAGTTTCCAATTGTGTTTTTATCAGTGCTGATGTATCTGTTAGCCACTGACCCCAGTACTCTTAACTGTTTAAGCCTCTGTTTGTTCTGTTGTCATGGAGAATACTCAGAGGCACAGAGGTGAGAGGGGTGGCTAGACTCCTCCTGCTTGGGAACTCATGGTTTTCAAAACCTTCCTGTCTCAGATATCCTGATCTGCAGAGTGGCACGGTGGGCAAGCTGGAGCTACTAACCCTGGGCTTTGCTGTTGTGCTGAGCTGAGCATCTGGGATGTGACAGACTCTGCCCTCTTGCATGTTCCCAGGTTTCTCTTCCATTGTCCTGTGGGATAGAAGGAAGGACTTGTGTTGGGGGTGGAGCCAAATCACTGAAATTGTCCAATAAACTTCAGAAGTGTTTGGCTACATAACAAAAATGTCTTTCAAGGTAGATGCCCCAGACTGGAAAATGTTAAAATGTCAGGTTCTCGGTTTTCCCCTGGAAGGGAAAAACTTGAACAATTCAGAATAACATCGTTCTGGTTTCATTTCTGTTGCTGTGATAGAATACCCCGATGGAAAGCAACTTAGAGGAGAAAGATTAGATTTGGCTTACAGGTGGCCACCTTTCAATTCAAAGTGGCATGATTCAAGGGCCTCTCCATGGTCCTGTTTCCAACCCCCCCCCCCCCCCCCCCCCCCGCGGGGCGCCCCCAAAGACCTGTGGTTCTGGAGGAAGTGATGAAGGTCATCTTCCTCCCAGTGCAGTTCTGTGGTGTGAGTCTGTACCATTCCCTCCAAGAAGCCCAGTTCCACCCACTCATGTCCTCTTTCTTCTTTGTTTGCCCGAAGTCTAATGGTGTCTACATTCTAGACCATGACCATGGTGTCTGCAAAGTGGCTTCTGAGCCACTCTAGCATGGGCTCAAAACAGATGAGTGTCCAACGCTCAGTAACCCTCAACCAGCTTATAGGAGCTGATCCGAGTGAGGACTGGACACCACACCCCCACCTCACCAGCTCCCAGTTCTCCATCCCAGTTTTTAGGGGTCTGACTTCAGAGTCACTCCCGAGTGCCTGCTAACCCCTCTCTCCTCGAAGGGAGTGTTATCTCTGCTCCTCCCCTTGGGATGCCTTCTGTGACAGGTGCTTTCTGGCCCAACAAAGAGTCCTTTGAAATAGTTTTTTTTTTTTTTTCTAATAACATTCCCAAGTTGTATCTCTAAAAACATACAGAGAACATTTTAGAAGAACCGAGTAAGTTGATACCCAAATTCCACCAGATATTCAAATCTCTGGAGTCTTTGGAAACTCCTGGTCCTCTCACCAGTGACTCCTGACGTCTCTGTCTGTACTGAATGTGTCCTGTCCCAGGTTCACGCCCAGGGCTGAATAAACCAAGGATAATAGTCCAAATTTAAAGGAGACTTTGCTGAGCTATGTCCTGCCTGCCTGTAGTACTTAACGCAGAGGAGTCTAGCCCTTACCACAGGGGCAGAGCAGCCAGCATGTGCTCCTTTCTAGGTGAGGGGGCTGGATGTGGAGCCCGAAGACTACTCTGTCATCCATACCCACCTCCAACACTGAGCCCCCACCCCCAGGTTTAGGAACCCAAGCTTAGTACTACTCCCAGGGTTCACTCAGTTGTCTGGTGGTCCATAGGTGACATTGTAGAGCTATATGGAGTAAAAGAGCCAAGTGCATGTGCACAGGCCTTTCTTTGAAGGGCACTGAAGATCGAAATTTTAGAGTTGAAAATTGGCCTTCATGATGAGGATTGCAAAGGCTAGGTTCTCTGTAGCCTGCAATTAGTTTTCGAGGTGAACACTGGGGTTCTGGGCGCCATCTGTTTTCATACTGCTCTCAGTGTGTTTCACCACAAAATGCTCTATGATGACCCCAGATTGCATCAGCCTTGCCAAGAGTTCTAGAGCATGTCAAGTACCACGAGGTTACAGTTAGGCTCTTTTTCCAATGCCTTGAAATTTTATTACATTGTTTTTTTTTTTGTCTGTGTAGGGGACTGCTGCAGTCTGCACATGGAGTTTATTCAGAGAATGACTTGTGGGAGTCAGTGCCCCCTCTCTGTTTACCATGTGGGATCTTGGGGTCGAACTCTTATCTTCAGGCTTGGCAGCAAGTAGCAAGTGCCTTTGCCCAGTGGGCCCTCTTGCTAGCCCTCAGTTCCTTCTTCTTCTTGCTTTTATTCTTACTATTAATTTACTTTTTACATTCCAATCCCAGTTCTCCCTCCCTTCTCTCCTCCCACTCACCCTCCCATCTCCCATCTCCCATCTGCTCCTTGGAGAGTTTAAGGTCTCCCCTAGGAAGTCTCTCCCATCATCTCGTTGAGGCAGGTCCAAGAACTTTCAATTTCTAATCATTGCTGGCTGCCTTCTCTTTAATCAGCAGTGGTGTATTTACATCTAACAAGATGGTAGTGTGATCTCTTCGCCTGTCTTCTGGGTCATTTCAGTTGATTGAAAACTGACAGCTTACCTAGTATATAGTATTACCGCCCTCTGCGTGGTTTACTCCTGACCCAACCCGAGAACACTGTTCTTGCTGATGCCAAGCGCTGGTCCTGATATGAGGCAGGCACATCCTGGAATGCCTCGTCTAGCTTCTTGATGCCTCTGTCTTACTGATGCCAAGCCCTGGTTCTGATGGGAGGCAAACACATCCTGGTCCTGGAATGCCTGTCTAGCTTCTCGATGCCTGTGTCTTACCCTGTTCCGATGAGAAGTGGTTAACATCCCCTTTTACATTTTGCATCCTGCAGGGGGCCAGCCACGGCACTGCTACTCTTCTGGAGAGGTGGCACCCACCGTGCTCTCCAACGGGGACCAGAGTCACACACTTGGAAATAACCTGCCAGAGAAAGACATCAGCGAGCCCAAGGTGGGGATTGCCACGCCATCCGTGTCCATACTTGAAAACAGCAGCAGAGAGACGGCCAAGGGTCCCGAGCAGCATAGATTTTCTCTTGACCTAAAGATGCCAGCATTTCACCCCAAGCAGGAGGGGCCCAGCACTATTGGCCGGGTAGACTTCCCTTCGAGCATGGAGATAACTAGCCTGCAGCTCACCTTGGACAGCCAGGCTGGGCATTCAAAAGAAAAGCTGTCCGATTTGCACAAGGAGCACTGTGGGGCAGGAAAGCGGTCATCCGCCTCTGACCTGGTCCCGCTGGACTTAAGTATGAGGTCGAGCCGGGATGACCCCAGCAGTAAGGACGCATGCTCCCTGCAGGCGGCCCTGGTCATTCACCCGTGTCCTTACTGTAACCACAAGACCTACTACCCCGAGGTCCTGTGGATGCACAAGCGCATCTGGCACAGGGTCAGCTGCAACTCTGTAGCACCCCCTTGGACTCAGCCTAACGGCCACAGGAGCATTCGCAGCAGCCTGGTTTTCCTTGCTCGCAGTGGGCGCACAGGTCCCCCGCCTGCTCTTGGAGGCAAGGAATGCCAGCCCCTGCTCCTCGCTCGCTTTACCCGCACCCAGGTGCCAGGTGGGGTACCGGGATCAAAGGGCAGCTCTTCTCCCCTTGGGGTGACCACAAAAGCCGCTAGCATGCCTAAGAATAAGGAGAGCCATTCTGGGGGCCCCTGTGCTCTGTGGGCCTCTGGCCCCGATGGATACCGACAGACCAGAGCTGGCCATGGCCAGGAGCCTCCCAGTGCTATTGTGCAGGGACCCTTGGCCAAACCCAAACAGGAGGCCAACTCCAAGTTGGCACCTTCCCCAGGCAGTGGGGGCCTCAGCAGGAGTGCCACCCCCATACCCTCGGTTATAACCCGTGTAGGTGCCCAACCCTCAGCCAATAGCAAGCCAGTGGAGAAACTCGGGGTCCCTGCAGTGGGGGCTGGCTTTGCTCCTCCGAATAAGCACAGTGCCCCAGACTCTCTGAAAGCCAAATTCAGTCCTCAGCCTCAGGGTCAGCCTTCCACAAAAGGCGAAGGAGGCTCTCCTCTACCTCCCCGGGAAACCCCTGTGAAGGCGGCCCAGGAGTTGAGAACACTAGCCACCTGTGCAGCGGGGTCCAGAGGGGACGCAGCCTTGCAGGCCCCACCTGGTGCGCCCCCCATCTTACACTCCATCAAGCAGGAGCCGGCAGCTGAGGGGCAGGAGAAACGCTTGGACATCCTCAGTATCTTTAAGACGTACATTCCAAAGGACTTCGCCACACTCTACCAGGGCTGGGGTGTCAGCAGCCCTGGGCCTGAGCACAGAGGTAAGAAGGATGGGCTCCCTCCTCCCTGGCTGCTCTGAAGGTCATGAGTATGCATACCTTCCTGCTGCCTGAGGCTTCAAGGCAGAGACCTCTTCTTGACCTGGCTACCCTGGAGCTCAACCATTCTCCTTTGGGACTGTGTGTCTGGGTCGGTAGTCAGCAGTCTTTGACTGTCCCCTTCCTGTGGACACTAAATTAGAAACCTGCTTGTTTACTCTATAACACTGCAACTTGACAGGAGCAGACAGGCCTAACCACACTTCATGTTGGCACTTTAAACAAAACGTTGGTACACATTCACTGTGATTGTTTCCTGAAAGAGAAACTGTCCTGTTTGAAGTGATTGTTAAGTCTTCTTATTTAATAATATAAAGGATATGTAAGCAATACCCTGCAGGCAGGGTCTGGTTGGAGTTGGATGTATGCACAAAGACGGGTGGGTTGAACTGTTCTCTCTGATCCTCAAGCAGTACTTAATGGTGTTTCCATTTCCCCTTGCATGTTATTCTTGATAGCAATAGCAATGCTGGTCTGGGATCTCTTGTGACTGGGACTGGAGGTGTTTTGGATTTTGGATCTTTTGAGATTTTGGAATAGTTCCCTATACATAGTATCTTGGGAATGGGGCCCAAGTCTAACTACAAAATTCACACAGTCTGGAGGTGGTTGTGGTGGCAGAAGGGGTGGGGTGCAGTGATTTTTAGTAAGTTTGTTTGTAGCATTTTCACACGGGTAGCCAGTCCTCCTGCAGGTTTCCTCTGCCAGTCAGATAGGCCTTGGGTGCAGTGACTCTGAATGATGGCCTGTTGTTGAATGTAAAGGTCGCTTTCACTTTAACGTGTATACCACCAGGGGGGGTGTAGAGCCTGTTAAAACAACAACAAAAAGATAACAAGATTGCAAATTCAAGGCTAGCCACCATACTTAAGATTGCAAATTCAAGGCTAGCCGCCATGCTTAAGTGAGACTCTGTATCCAAAAACAAATCCACTCCACCTTCCGTTCATTCCTGGAGGTCCTAACCTTTTCCTTGAATAGCTTCCTTTGTCATGAGCCCATAGTTTCTTGAAGCAGTAACTCCTTGAAGTAGGGGCCTCAGGTCTACCACATTTGAAATAGTGTTAGGAAGATGTGCTGTAAGGCTGTGGTACCACTGAGGCCCTGGGTTGGTAGTCTGGTGCTCTATGCCTGAAGATTTCTGGTGAGGCTGTTTGTTTTTACTTGATATGGGGCTGTGTCTGTGGCTGGTGAGGTTCCCCTTTCTCTGCCTCAGTTTTGACTGTGTGAGTGGTTTTTGGGCTTGCAGTGCTGTGCAGTTTATAGATTGCCCTGTTGTGTGAGGTGCCTGACTGGCTGGCTGTGTGTTGGAAGCTGTTCTCTAATCTTCGGGTGAGTGTCTTCTTGGAGTCCACAGCAGGACACCCACCTGTTATGGCTGTCTAGTTCTTAGTGTCTCTTTCCCATTGTCCCGACCTTTTGCAGCTGAACTGGTTATTCACTCCATGTTCTAGAGACTAACTCAGACTCACTGTCTAATAGTTACTTGCCGGTGGCCTTTGTGATGTCTGGCTCCTGACCTGCCAGTGTGTTCTGTGGTGAGCTAAGCAGCCAGTGATAACACATTCAGGCTGCTGTAAAATTCTGAGTTAATCAAAAATATATTCTATTTGAGTGGAAGACTACCTTGGGAGCAAACAGCTCTGACATGTTTCCTAGAACCCCAGGCTGTGGAGGCAGGCTCTCCACAGTGACAAAGTGGCCTGCTTTGAAAGTCCCCTCCCTGCTCCTTCTGACCTGTACTGCTGTTACCTTGTGTGTCTGAGCAGTAGCTATTGATTTGGGTTGGTCTGGGTGATGCTTTTGTAGGAATGGGTTATGGAGCCCCCCACTTCTCCAGCAGAACATAGAAGAACAACTGTTGTTGCCTTAGGGGTCAGGACTCAGAATAAATCCCACTGTATGTATTCACTGTCTTTCTACAAAGTGACTATGAAGTCTGCAAACACAGGGTATACCACAATTGGTTTGTTAATACAGTAGTCATGAAAAGTCACTGTGTCTCCAGTCTTTGCTGCCCTTTCTTGGCAAACTGCATGATTCTCTTGGCTCTGAGGGAAGCCCAGAACCCAGGCTCAGATCTATAGGTGCCTTTGGCTCTGTCCTGCCTTGTTGATGGCATAGCCTACATTGAGGGCTACCACCTGCTGTTTGCTGGCAGTCAAGAGCTCCTGGTGGGCAGGTAGGAGGCACAGCTGGGGTGGCTGCTGATGACCACTGCTCTGCATCTGTCTCCTGGGATTGTCACTGTGGGTACAGTGGGCTCTGTTCCTAGTCACTTCCGGTTACCTCCAGGCTTTGTCTCTGTCACACTGGTGCCACTGTGATTTGTTTATTATACTGCTTGGTAGGGCCAGGTGACATCTGGGTGGTGTATCCAGCTGCTTGGAACCACACAGTCTGTCAGTGCCACTCTGTTCCTGTCCTGTCCCTGGAGCATTTGCTTAATTCACTGTAATTTATGCATCCTTACGATCTGGTGTGTGCCTGGCCTGTCAGCCTAGCCAAGGCAAAGTTGACAGTTGTCACCAGGGCCCAGAAGTGGCTTCTCACATTGATATGTCACATGGACTAATGACGCCTTCCTCTCTCCCTCCCCTTCCCTCTTTCTTCTTCATCTCCACGTTATGCCACATGACTAACAGGGACACCGCTGACACAGGCCCGCCAGGGAGACTTTGTCTGTGTGGAGTGCGGCAAGAGTTTCCATCAGCCCAGCCAACTCAGGGCCCACCTTCGGGCGCACACAGGTATCACAGCCCTGTGCCAAGTATATGTCTGTTTGTGATGGGGAGGAGGTGGGGGTATGTTCTAGTGTCATGATAAATGCCATAACCAAAAACAGCTTGGAGAGGGAAGGGTTTATTTGGCATATACTTCCAGGCCACGGTCTATCACTGAAAGGAGTCAGGCAAGAACTCAAGGCGGGAACCATGAAGGAATGCTCCTTGCCCGCCTGCTTTCTGGCTTGCTTACTACAGGCTAATGCTTAGCTGACTTTCTTATGCATCCCCAGACAGCTGTCTGTGGATGGTGCTGCCCAGTGTAGACTAGACCCTCCTATATCAGTTGTCGATAGAGATACTGCCTGACAGACATACCCACAGGTCTCTCTGCCCCAGACATCTCCTCAGTCAGATTCTTTCTTCCAGGTGACTCTAGGTTGAGGCTGACTAACCAACGCATAGCCCTTCCTGCCAGTCATTCATGGTCACAGTGGACATATTTAGGCTTCAGCTTGGCCAGAGCTGTCACCGTGCATCTACCTCTTAGTTGTCTATTCAGTATGGGGCATGCTTTGCTTTGCTTTTCTTTGCGTCCATGTGCCATGTAGTTTAGTTTGAGAAAAACCCATTTGCATATGTTCCTTTTAACTAGAGTAGAACCTCAGAATGAGATGCTAATGAGTTAATAGTGTCTCCATCATCAGTGGCAGCCAGGACATTATTCTTCCAGCCCAAAACTTGGTGACTTCTATCCTGATGGGTAGAGCTGGTCTGTGGATATGTACAAGACCCCCTTGGTTGATCAGTGGTGCCCTGACACACCTCCAGCCCCCTGTATAAATCTGGCATGAGTTCTGCTTGGGCTACCTGTGTCTTACAACAGAGCAGGAGCCTTAGGGAGATGGCTAACCTGTCTAGCAGTGTGGCATGCACATACCCAGAAGCCAGCCCGATGCTCAGTGGCACAGGCCAGGGGGTCAGCAGAGCAGGAAACAGGTCCCTGTACCCAATACTGATAATTTATGTTGCCAGTGATTGCTTTCCGCAGTGTGGAGTCTGAATTAGGAAGGTTTGTCGCCCCAGGCATCCAGTATTGAGGGTTCTCAGTGTAAGTGTTGTGGGGAATGGGTGTTTTTCAGCTGCAGGCCAGGCACTGGTGTCTTCTCATGAAAATGCTTTGTCCTTAAAGGGCCTCTTTGATTTGCACTCAGGAGTCTCATCAGCCCTCTGCTAACAGACCCTTTTTTCCCACAGTTGTGTTTGAGTGTGACGGTCCACAAGGGTCTGAAGTTCACACAGCCTCCACGGATGCCCCCAAACAAGTATGTTCTGTGATGCATGTCTGGGTGTCAGTGTGTCTGCAGAGACTTGGGACATAGGGCACCTGTGTATTATGTGCGCTGTGGAATAATTCCATGTCATTGGAGCCCTTCCAACGAGGCTGTCTGGGATAAACAGAGCGCAGGAGGCCACATAGCTGCCAGCTGCTATAGACCCGCCCATTACGGCGGAAGCTGAGGAGGAGGGGGTTAGTGGTGATGGAAACATCAGAACTTCTTAGTCTGTGTCTAAGTTGGATGAGTCACATCTTGTCTCCTCTAAGAGCACTGCTTTCTAATTTCTGTGTAAGAGATGCCCGGTGTTTCACAGCTGCATAAACACCTGGTAAAACAAGGCTCTCATGCATTGGCACACCTGTGTCCCTGCCCTCTAACACCTCTCCTGTGGGAGTGTAACTATCTCACACATGCCATTTGATATGCACTGGATGTGGCAAAGCCCTGTGCCATCCCTGGTTCATAATACGGGTCTGAGGGGTATCAGTGCTCAGGGCTGCTTTTCTGTTACCCTGGCTGACAGCGTGTGGTGTCAGTCACCTTCTGCTCCCCGCCCTCTACCCCTCCCACTGTCTTTGTCTCTTCCCATCACATGGGTTATTGGCTATTCTGTCTTAGCTGCAGAAACCCTCCCCCTTGCCCAAGCCCTGTCTGGCTGGTAGGATTCAGGTCTGTGTGCCTGGTCCTAAAGTATCTCTTGCCCTGTGATGACAGGATTAAGGCCTCCACTGTGGTCCCACTATAGTTAGACCTCAAGGAACTTTGGAGGATCACTTTAGGTTATTTCAGTAAAACCTATGGTTTAAAAATATAAAGCAGTTTCTTTGTGATAGTAAGATAGTTTTTTTATTTTTTATTTTTTTATTTTTATTTTTATTTTTATTTTTGGTTTTTCGAGACAGGGTTTCTCTGTGGCTTTGGAGGCTGTCCTGGAACTAGCTCTTGTAGACCAGGCTGGTCTTGAACTTACAGAGATCTGCCTGCCTCTGTCTCCCGAGTGCTGGGATTAAAGGCGTGCACCACCATCGCCCGGCTTGTAAGATAGTTTTTTTTTTTTTTTTAAAACGAGTATAACCTCTCCCGAATACCGAATAGAAAGATTTCCTGGCCACTCCAACAGAACTAAAGGTGGCTTGCTATAGAAGGTCCATGTGCAGAATGCACTGGTTGCAGTGACAGGAAGGTCATGTTGTGACTGGAGGATTACATTTGGGCATCACCTCCCAGGCCACCAAAGACTCTATGGGATGCACCAGGCAGATTTGCCAACAACCATCGAGTTTCCTAGATCTGGTGAGCCTGCTTGCTGGGTTTAATTCTTCCTCAGCTTGTTCCCATGCTCTTGTCATGTGGAAACAGGAACTTGAAGGGCGAAGTCACTAAGATTTCATGGTAGCTTATTCTTGGGTTTCTTTTACTTATACTAGGTATTTGTATTAATATTACTGGTCTGTGGTTCTGACAGAGAAGGATGCTGATATGTCATCTGTTTCTAAACTTAATGCTGTCACATTAGACTTCCTGCCACCGTCCTCTTACTGTCAAGTTCATGATCATCTGGTACTGACATCTTGTTGCTGTGGATCCAGCCCTGAGGTGTGCATTTGCTTTGCCATGAGGCCTCCGCAGGCTTAGTTAGCCCCAGCTTGCCTCACACTTCTTTTATAGTAGCTAGTTAGTTTAATTCCATATTTAAGTCATGTGCTCCATTGGCCCCTTTGCCCTCCCTTACCTTAAGAAGTACAGATTTTGGTGATTCGTTGTAGATATTCTGGGTCTTTTGGAAATTCCATTTTTGTCAACGTATTTTGAAGCTGTAAGAATCTTAAAGAAATTTGTTGTCAGAAAAACACATCTGTAATAGGTTCTTCCTATAACATAGGCTGTGTTCTTCCTTCTCCCTGATTCTTGTGGTTTAGTCATGAGTGCAGTGTTGAATTTGGGACACGTTAATTTAGAACTAGTTTATGTCATCATTAATGTCTGAAACGTATCTCATTGTGCCTATCAAAGTGCTTTCCTATCATTAGCTAATTAATATTCAAATTGGGTTATTTTCCTTTGGACTTTAGAGGCTCTGGACTTTGTTACATCATGCAACACTGTTTATTCATGCTAACGTCATTTCAGGTGATATTCAACATGATGGAGTTTTGCATATGCACATAAAAGATGATAAATAATCCAATTGAGGCAACCTGTGGTTAAGGCTGGTGGGTGGTTTACATAAGGGAATAAGGATGGTTCCTGGGAGCAGGAGCTGGGTGTTTGGGAGCTCCTGCAGGGCAGAGGACTTGGGCTCAGCAGGGTTATGACTCAAGGAGGAAGAACATGAAGGATAGCGTGAGAATCAGTTGGCTGGAGGAGGTTTAGTGGCACGGGCACATGTCTGGAGAGACAGGAGTATCTGGCCACTCTATGAGATTGCCATCCAGAAGAAAACATCTTGAAGCAGAGGGGTGACATCCAGAGTTCAGCTCTGAGGCCTGACTTGTGGACAGCCAGGAGGATGAAAGCTTGGAGGCAGTGAGTTGATCCCAGTGAGAGATTGTACAGCTTGTTCGGCATGGGTATGCCTTGAGGGAGTTTCTAGATTAGGCTGGCTGTGGTGGGGAGACAGAACTAACTCTAGGTAGCATTGTTCCATGGGCTGAGATCCTGCATTGAATAAAAAAGGATAAAGCAAGCTGAGCACAGCATTTCTGCTAGTCAATTCTTCCTTCATTCTCTCCCTCCCTTCCTTCTTCGCTTCCTCATGGAGGATTCGATGTAACAGCTTTGTGAAACTCCTGCTGCCAAGCCTTCTCTGCTGCTGTGTCCTGGCTGCTGCCTCCTTGGAGGAGGAGTTGATTTGTGCAGATGATTCCTGTAGGCCACTTTTAACACACTCCTTTGAGTCCCTTCAAGGGATACTGCATTTGTGGTCCCATCATTAATATCCTGATGAAGCAGTGAGGCACATAAACTCATCTCTTCAGTATAAAGGGAATGCCAATCCTGCAGTGATTTGCGGACACAACCTAGCAAGTGCTCTGTAGATTTGCAGGCTTTGCAAAGCTGGGATAAATAGTTTGAAAACTTTCTGGGCCGTGCACTGTTCAGCCCTTTATTGGTGGAAGGCCAACCCTGTTCTCTCTGACCCATCCCAGGGATAGTTGATGTGGTCTGTCCTAAGATAGAAGCACAGGTAGGTGTTTCCTGGGGGCTGTTGTGCAGCAGTCCATGCAGACTCCAGATTCACACAACTCCTCAGCCTTGTACAGTTTCCTCTGTCCTGGAGCGTCTGGTAGTGTGTTTGCTATAGGCAGTGTTTATGAGTAACATTCAAGGTCAAACACCCACAATTGCAGCTCATTTTCTTGTGGAAGCACAGAGCCCCCATTCCTTTGTAAACATGCCTGGAACTTGTTCCCAGTGAGCCCTGCTGCAGCTGGATGTCCACAGAGATCTCTTCCATATGTCATAGCTATGTAACATGGCAGTCATCTCTCCTGGTCTATAGCAGGAAGTTTGTCTAACATGGCAGTCATCTCTCCTGGTCTATAGCAGGAAGTTTGTGGTCTGCGTAAGGGTGGGTTTGTCACATCTAATTGATGCTACTTTTGGTGCTTCAGATCAGCCACGGGCTACAGTTCTGCACTTGCCTTGTGTCTCAGACATTCTCTGAATATCTTTCTGGTTTCTACTGTGTATTAATAGTAGACATTGTGTGTAAGGCCAACTTTTAGTACTTTTCTGAAAATCTTAGCTAAAGATTTAAAACATTAAATTCATGATGCCAACTAGCTCACTTCGTGTGTGTTTCTAGGATTCCCGTAGACCTAGCTGGAGACTAGAGTTTCCCATGAGCTGTGTGGTTTGTGGGTGCACATTGATTTTAAGTGGTTGGTTGGCGTCTTAGGGTTTCTGTTGTTGTGAAGAGACACCATGACCAAGGCAACTCTTACAAAGGAAAACATTTAATTGGGGCTGGCTTACAGTTCAGAGGTTTAGTCCATTATCATCATGCAGGCAGACATGGTACTGGAGAAGATGCTGAGAGTTCTGCATCTTGATCCACAGGCAGCAGAAGCAACTGTGAGCCACACTGGGCATATCTTGGGCATAGATGAGAACTCAAAGTCCAGCCCCACAGTGATACACCACCTACTCTAACAAGGCCACACTTGCTAACTGTGCCGCTCCCTGTGGGCCAAGCACTGAAACACATAAGTCTATGTAGGTCATACCTATTCAAACCTCTGCAGAAAGATCTATCTTGGCACATTATTTTGTCCTCAGCTGGAATATGACATTGTTCAAACACCAGTGTGCCCATCCCACTCCATAGTCCTCTTCAAGCTCACATCTGTGCTCCCAGCTGCCTCTGTCCATTGGCCTTAAAGCACAGCTCTTCTGCTTCACCACTCTGGGACAACAGATTGATGTGGGCACCATGGGCTTTTCTTTTGTTTGTGTGGCTCCATGCTCCCCTGTAAGCACTGTTGTTCACCTGGGAATCTGTACCATAGATGTGTGCTTTTCAAACCTCCCTTGCTCTCACCTTGCTGACTTTTAGCCTTGTTTGGAGCCAAGCCCAGCATTGCTGTTTGCTCTCTGAAGCCAGTGATGCTATCTAACACTGGAGGATAGAGTGCTCTACTGGGCAGGGGTGGTTTTCTAGTGCTGCCCTCATGGAAGCCAATGGGGTGAAAGCAAAGTATTCATGCTGGTGTAAATGAGCTGCCCCTAAAACCAGAGGCCTTGGTTGCCTCTGCCACTTTGTTTGGTGAAGTGTACCCTGTGTTTCTAGGTCTTGCTAAGAAAATTAATATGGTAAATGCTCTTGGGACTGGAAGACAACTGAGCTTGCCTGCCATTTTCTTTCTTTTGCAGGGGAGAGACCATACTACCCCAGGGACTGTGCCAGCGGGGCCTCTCCAGAAGGGGACCTAGAAACACGCCTCCAGCGCTCGGCCCCGTGACGGTGTTGACAGTGGCCTCAAGGGCCATTGGAAGGCTCCCAGCAGTGACCATGGCCACCTTGGGGAGGAAGAGCCAGGGTCTCCTGACCAGACTACCTTAGACCCGGGAGCCGCTGCGCTAGAGCAGACCAAGGGAGCCACTGAGCTAGATACCTCCCTTGGTGACATTTAGGGACAACAAAGATGCTATGCCTAGAATTCTGTGTAGCTCTTTCACACATGTTTGTGCTCATCCACCATGGCCTGTGTCTCCTCATGATAAGCAGTGGTATTGGCAGGCACAGAGGGAGCTCAAGCTTCTGTATTGATAACTCAAGACAAGTGTGAGACACTGGAAATAAGATGATGGTGTGTTTTGGATGGAGTAAAGAGCTAAGCACTGTAGGAGGTGCTCTGGTGCTTAGAGGATAGGTGACACTGTCAGGACATGGGGGGGGGTCCACACTACTGCCTCTCCCTGCTTCAGTGGATATTTAATAGCAGGTAAGATGGAGGGTGGTGTTCAGGAGCTGTGAGGCTTGGTGGTGCTCGGGCTCCGTAAGGCAGGGCAGTGGCAGGTCCTCCCAGTTCAGAGGTCTGGCCATGACCCCCTCTGAGCTGCTCATGTCACCCTCATGCTCTCTGTGTTTCCTCCACTTGAGCTGCGTTGGCACAGGAAACACAGCAGAGATGGGAACACATATAGCCCTGCTTTGGAAAAGAGTTATTTGAACACTAAGAAGAGCAGGCGTCTTTGTTTATTCTCAGGACCTTTTTGTAACAGGGCTACATTCTGCAAACTGCTCACAAGAGAAGACTACATGTCTTAACAGATTCAGCCGCTGAATCCTCCCAATCCGGGCCTGTTTTAGTGATGGCAGAAGAACCCTTGAGCAGATTGGGGTCTTTAGGGTGCTCTGGGGCCTTCTGCTCCTTCCCTCCCTTCCCGTCCCAACCTCCTCCCTGCACCACCCCAGCAAATAGATGTCTTTCCCGCTCAGGCCTGGTGGCCACCACTGGATGAGTGACTTCGCTCACAGATTGATGGGAGGGCACCAGGCCTGAGAGTGAGGACGGCTTTATATACCTCTTCCTTAGTCACGCAAGTTCACGTTTCTGTGGTGGGGTGAAGGCCCTAGCAGAGGTTCCGAACCCACACAGCGTGTGCGTTCGGAACTGTATTCCGCAGGTAGCAGCATTTCCTTTTCCCGTTGCTGTGACACTGTGTGTGATGGCAACACTTCTGCAAGTTCCAGATGTTTGCACATTATGATTTATGCATTATCAGAAGTTACTGCTGCCTTGAATGAAAAACGTTCTGTGAAATTTTTTGCAAAAGCTTTACTAGTTTTTTTTTTATTGTGAAATTTTGTAAAGGCAGGAAATGGATTAAGACAAGCATGCTAAATATATTTTTCAAAAAAAGCAATAATTTTACATGTACAGAAATTATCCTAACCTTTAATACTGGTGAGAGCGACAGTTTACTTAACACAGTAATGGATCAGTGCAGTTTTTGTAGGAAATGGGCCTCTGATACAAAGACTTGTTTAAACACACATGTATACATGAACCCTGGCGTGTGGTTTCTCTGTTCTAATGATCTGTTGGATTATTATTATTATATTATTATTATTATTATTATTGTTATTGTTATTGTTAGCTAATGTTTGATTCTGGATTCTACTTGTTACTGTTTTAATTACTTGACCGTTCAGGTGACTGCGACACTTGCAAACAATGCAATGTTAACTGGCTAGCAGATACATATATACATATATATGTATATATATTATATATATATAATTATTTTTTTTACCTATTTTTCCTGATACTCCTATACCAGGTATGTGTGAGAGCGGCTTGCCGTGTCCGAGGGCTTGGGAATATTGATGGTTCTGAGATGTAACCTTGAGTGGGTCACAGAGACACATTCCTCTCTCCACCTGAGGCAGCAGAGCCCTTTCTGCTGATTCGTGTTTGATCATTTTGATACTTTTTCTCCCATCATTTCTGCGTTCTCTGGCTTTTTGTTTTCTTGGCTGAAACAAAGGTGACAGTTAGGAATGTTCAGGGGCCTGTGATTTGGCCCCGTCTATTTCTGTGTTTTAGTTATTAAAAAATTCTGTACACAAAGGGACACAAAGGTGTTGTTTGCGTTCTTACTGTGTCCGAAACTGCACTTGGCATTGAGAACTGGAAGGTTCTGTCTTCCAGTGGGTCTCCTTCCCAGTTGCTCTGGGGAAGAGGGGTGTGTGGGGTGCCTGCAACTGAGTGTCTGAAGAGCAGCCAGGAGAACAGCCAATCCCAGGATGACCTGTCCTCAAAGCACAGAGATAGCAGTTTTCATGTAGCCATAAGGCCATGAGTCCCATCCCCCCCTCCCCAGCTCACACACCCTCTGGGACCAGCTATGTGCTGGCCTGGGTGTGTGGCCTCCTTGTCCCACTGGCCTTCAGTATTGGACCGGTTTGTTAATTCATTTATGTCAGCCCAACCATAGTATTTAATATGATTTATGTTTTCTTATTTATTTAGCCAATCTGTTTTGATTTGCTGCCTCCCCCCCCCCCCCCCCCCCCGCGATAATTTCCGCATTTCTGACTGTTACAGACTTCCTACTACCTCTACGAATCTGCTGTCTCCTTGTTTCCTAATGAGATTTTTACAGTGTTGAGTCTAATGTGACTTAGACAATAAAGGGTTTGGTTGTCTACACTGCAGCTGCTCTGTGTGTCTCCCCTCCCGTCCACCCTGCACTCGCCCTGATCCCTGCCTGCTCAGTCCACTTTTCACCTCTTATTCTTGCCTCTCTGTTACCTCTTCTCTTACACTGCCTCCTCATTTCAAATGCAAATAACACATTCAGAGTTTATCGGAATCTTTTAGGTGATTTAGTCGGTCCTAATTCAGAGAATGAAGATTTAAAGTCACAAATAATAAATAAGTGAATTCTAATGGTTCCACCCTGGAGAGTTGCCCAGGGGACTTGTCCACATGTCTCTTCAGTCTCTTAGGTGGTGGCAGCTCAGCCTCCCCCACCCAGTACAGTTTCCAAGTCAAGCAGACCTTGCCTTTTTGGTTCTGAAAATATTAGATATTTTAAAGAAGTTTCCCTCATATTTACTTATTTATTTTTTAAGTCCACAAAGACACTGGTTTCTGAAAATTAGGTGCTCCAGGCAGCACAAGGTCACTCTGTAAAAATAAAAGAGCACCAGTGTTCCAGTGGGCTGCAGGGCTGTGTGTCCCGATTGGCTGCTGTGAGGCACTGGGGACTGGAGTCAGGCTCCTTCCAGGTACCTTGTTCTACCTCTGGCATCTCCAGGGCTGGCAGCTGTGGTCTTTTCACCTCCTTGGAGCTAGGAGGATGGCTACTCTCTGGTGAGATGATGGTGTTTTCCAGGTGACGCCTGTGGGTGCAAGTCTCTAGGAAAGAAGGGCTCCCTGGCCTTGTTAGAGACTTGACCAACCTCTCTAAGACAAGACCCCTCCCTGCCACCATGCCTGCAGAACATGATTTGTTTTTCAGTGATTACCAATTTAGCAACTTTTATTTGCTGAGAGAGAAACAAAAGAACAAAAAGAAAAAAGCCCTGCAAACAAGGCCTTCCAGGACACTGGTGATTGCTGCAAACTGCAGAGCCCCGGGGACATGCCTGCATGAAGTGACCACCAAGCAAATATTCACCAATTTCAGTAATTAGTCTTTGAGGTGGTAAGATGCAGAAGACCATAGAGTTTGTATTTCTTTCTAAAAATACAATTTATGATGCTATATTTTGTACTCTTTATATTAGAATTTGTAACTAGATTGATGTATTTAACTATTTCTGAGAAAAAATTCAATGTTACAGCTGTGTGATAAAAGATATTTAGATAAAACATATTCACTCTATTGGAATTTGAAATAAATAAAAAAACATCTTGGAGTTGTAAAATATTTGCCCCTCCTTTAGAAGGTGGCTTACATTATTTGACAGTCTGTCTTGACCTGCATTTATTTCTTTTTATTGGCTGAATATAAGCCCAAATGTTACTATTGTTTACTTGTACAGTTTTACAACAAACCAAGGGATGATTCACCTGAAAAGATGCCAGATGGACAGTCCCCTACCCCCATCTTTTGTGAATTCAAGGGTATGCCTTTTTTTGCTTTGTTTTTAGTGAAAAGCCGTATTTATTTATTTATTTTTGCTGCACACCCTCTACTGCATGAACACTGTGCTTTAATGTTTGCAGTAAAATTAGACAATCCCTTGGTTCAGTGGGAGTCTTAGTGGAGTGTGGGGAGAGGATTTGGGTGCTGGGGCCACGGCTGGTCTCTGCACCAGACTTTGGGCATATGGTAGCCTAGGGCTTTTGACCCTCTGACTAGGTAATAAAAATGGAGTTTGGCCATCAGATGCCTGACTAAAAAGTATGTCTTGAAAGTAAAATATTTACCTGTGTGTCCGTATGCCCGGGAAAGGGATGAGCAAGTACTTGGAGACGGCTTTGGAGGGCATGAGAGAGGCCATCACCGCGCTCACTTCCTCTCCCACAGAGCCATGGCAGTCTCACTGTCACCCACTCCTGCTGTGCTTAAAGGTGAATCACCAATTTTGAGGGATTTCCTAAGAGGCCTCAGGGTTGAGCAAGGGAAATACAGCCTGCATTGATTTAGGTGATATGTGTGGCTGTTCTGGATTTCCCTGCCATTGAATGGCTGGTTTATAAAAGGATGAGATGCTGACTGAGAAGATGGAATACCACGTCTGCAAAAGGCAGCTGAGGCTGAGCTGAACTGCAACAGTCCCTGAGATGTGGGGCCCGAGCTCAGCCCAGAACTCTATGTTTCACCAATAGGTGATTAGCTCCCAGACGTGCAGATGCTTCAGGGTTCATGTCCCAGACACACATTGCCCTTACTCTGCATGGAAACACTGTTCTTCCAGGAAAGTAACCCCACAACAGGAGGACACGCATGCAGCCACAGGCTGCCTGGAACACTTCCTTGGTTATTGGGAATTATGGGAGAAGACTAGCCAATGATCACCATGTCCCTGATTTGGAAACAGGAGTTGAACATGGCTCTCTCTCTCTCTCTCTCTCTCTCTCTCTCTCTCTTTCTGTTTCTCTCTCTTCTCTGTATTTCTGTTTCTCTTTGTGTGTGTCTCTCTGTCTCAGTCTCTCTCTGTGTGTCTCTGTCTCTCTCTGTCTCTGTTTCTGTCTTCTGTCTCTCTGTGTGTTCTCTCTCTCTGTGTGTGTCTCTGTCTCTCTGTCTCTCTCTGTATTTCTGTTTCTCTCTCTTTGTGTGTGTCTCTCTGTCTCAGTCTCTCTCTGTGTGTCTCTGTCTGTCTGTCTGTCTCTCTCTGTCTCTCTCTGTCTCTCTCTCTCTGTCTCTCTCTCTCTCTCTCTCTCTCTCACACACACACACACACACACACACCTGACTGAAATGATGAAACTAACTAACACTAACTAACATAAGTTGTTAATTGGTGTTCAGGTCAATTTTTTTTTAGGTCAATACTACTAGAGGGACTAGCAGATTGAGATGTAAATTGTGGCTTTTGCTTGTAGCTGTACTTGTTCAGTACATACTCTGAACTGACACAAGGCCTAGGGTGATTTCCAGGGAGTCTTTTAGGGATGTAGGAGCATGTGATCACATAGTCCATTAGATTTGCCCTGTCGGAAGAGGAAAATTGATAATGATCAGGTAGTCTTTCTGGGGTCCTATAACAAAATACCTTAGTTTGGGTCATTTTAAAGCAGTACATTTAGTGCTGTCTGTTCTGGGTGGTAGGAAATCCAGGAGCAAGGCACCAGAGACTTGGCATTTAGCTGAAGTGAGTCCTCTCTCACCAGTGAGCTTTGCAGCACCATCCCTGGATAAAAGGAAGAAGCTCCTGCCACCTCTTTTGTATGGGCACTGATCACACCCAAGAGAGTTCTAGTCTGAAAAAGACCTGGTCTCCCAAAGGCCACTTTATGTCACCACAGTGAGGGATAAGTTTCATTTGTGCATATCTTGGTGTGAAAACACTCAGACAATAGCTCTTTCCATCTGAGGAAGATGTGTGGGATCCCACATTAAGCCCTTGGCTTGGTGAGAACAGGACATCAGAGTGAACTGTTGTAGGGGATCTGGATCACTTGTCAGTAGGACATTATCTAGGTCCCAAAGACAGTCCCTTCCACTTAACTCTTATGTCACCCTCCACCTTTTCTGAACTCTGAGAGTCACAGGGACAGGGTAGGACTTGGGGAGCCAGAGGAGAGGGCTATGTTTACAAAGCTGACACAAACGGATAGTGGCTTCAAAGGTCTGGAGTTCTCGTCTTGAGGTTGGGAGGTCTCAGCTGAGTGCAGCCCAGGCCTAGCATCAAGATTCACCAGAAGGTTAGCCATGGGACAGTGGGATGGCTTGCCTGTGGAGGTAGCCAGATCCCTGAACTGCTTCTGGTTTGTTTTCAAGGGATGCTGTATAATCTTGCTCAGAGAGCGAGAGCAGCATGGTGTCTGACCCTATCAAGAGTTCTGGCTCCACTAAAACTGTGGGATATGTGCACAAATAGGTAGGTGTTAGAAGTTCATTGAAGGCATTGACTGGTGTGCGCCAACAATTGTGTTAGATGCTGACACAGAAAAAAGAAAAAAGCCTTTACTCTGGCTTCACAGTGGAGCAAGAATGAAAATACCTAGAGATGATGGTTTTCAGTCCAGTGGGCTGTCCTGTGTACAAGGATATGTGTGGAAGGGATAGAGGCCAGGAGTCCAAAGTCATATGTCCACATATACCTAGGACTGTAGTGAGAGCTTCCCACAGCTGTTTGGTCCCAAATAAAACACAGAAACTTATGAAACAGCTGGCCAATGATTAGGACTTCTTATTGGCTAGCTCTGTCTTAATTATTAACCCATTTCTATTAATCTATGTATTTTCACGTGGTCTTGGCTTACCGAAGAAGGCCTTTCATGCCCTCTCTTCCTGGACTCTACATGACAACGCCTGTCTGCCTACATTTCCCACAATTCTCCTTTTCTCCTAGTCTCACCTATCTTCCTGCCTAATTGGCCAAACAGTGTTTTCTTCATCAACCAATTAAGAGAAACATACAGAAGGATATCCCCCATCATAGGACCAAGTCACCTCCCATCCCAGGGGCAGGCACAAGAAAGAGCTCTGTTGATAAGGTTGGAGATTAAAGCTGAAAACACTATAGTACTTCTGGAAGAAGTCCAGGGGAATTGATTTGGGGTGATGGAGTACATCAAGAACATACTTTAATTGTCAGATTTGCCAGAGGGAAGCTAGGAAGACTCCTTGTCAGTTACTCTTTCATGACAAAGTGAAGCTTCAGGAAGAAAAGGTGTCCACCAGCTGCCGTGATCCCAAGGAGAGAACAAGTTGGCTCAGTTGGAAGGTGGCTTGTGTGTTTCTGTGTCTGCTGTTTGAGGTCCAGGACTTTGACAATGGATTAGAGAAACAGGACTCTGAAGCAGTCTCAGGCTAGGTAGGGAGTCAAGAGAGGAGCAGGCTGAGGGGAAGCCTATGGTTGAAAGATGCTGGGTCTGGGGCACAGGTATGGGGAGTGGTCATCTTCACCTGGATTTTCTCACTTGTCCTGAAAGAGGGATGACACAAATGGAGACACACATGCTGTAATTTCAAGGCCACTCTCTCTGGGAAAGTGGCTTTGTGGTCTCAGTATGCTTCAAAAAGAGCATCATGAACACCATTTTATGGCTGGCTTCAAACTCCATATGTAGCTTAGGCTGGACCCAAACTCCCTGTCTTTCCACCAGCTGCCCAAGCCCCACTGCCACATGGGAGCCCAAAATAACATACAGAGACTTATATCTTGCTCCCCTATTGGCCAACAGTGCTTTATTCAAAACTAATAAGATAAACATACACAGAAGGACCATCCCCATCATCTCCTCCTTTCTGTCTAAATAAGAAGGGTTTTGCCATTAACATAGTAAAATATATAACAAAACAGTTATCAAGTAAGAACTATAGTTACAATATTTAGTTTATTAACATTTAGCAAGATTTAAATAAAATATTCTATCTATCTTTGTGAGTCTAAAGTCTTATATGTAGCTTATCTTTTATAATAACTAAAGAAAACTATAACCATAACTATCAGTCTTCAACTCCATCAAAGACCACAGAAGGATAATATATAAACTCTAGAATTCACAGAGACATCTCATTACTTGGACAGTCAAGGATAACCTTGAACTTCCTTTATTTCTGCCTACATGTCCCTGGTGCTGGAATTACCAACATTTGCCACCAGGTCTGGCTTATGCTAACCTACGGCTTTATGCATGCCAGACAAGTACTCTGTCAACTAGGTTTCATTCCCAGTCCTCAATGGTAAACACATACTCCAGTGAGTCAATCCTGTGGCAAATGGTGTTAGGTTGTTAGTTTTTCAAACTTTAGATGATACACAAAATGTGAGACATTAGTTGAGTTGATAGGTTTCTTCAAGTCACATTCGCTTGTCACCTAGGAGATCTTTATGTCACCCCCCACATTTTATAAACATGCATCAGGAAATGTACATTTTATTTTTATGTGATACTCAAGAAATTAGGTCATTGTCCCACTTACGTAGCCCAGGGTGATATCAAATTCCCTTTAGCCAAGGATGACTTTGAATTTCTGTCCCCACAGCTCAAGTGGTGGATTACAGGCCTGTGCCACCCTGCCTGTTTTATGTCCTGTAGTTCTGGGGACAAAATCCAGGGTTTCATTCATGCTAGGCAACTTTACCAACTGGGGGTCTCTTTGTTTTTGTCCAAATGTAACTAGAATTTGTTTCCCACCCACCCAGGTGTAGTCCTCAGACTATGATCAAGCTATTTCTAGTTGAAACAGAATTGTTTGTCTATTTAACACCTTCTAAAGAAGCACTGATGGGGTGCTTTTGGAAGAACCATTTATAAAAGCCATCTGAGCAACCTGGGATGCT